ATCTCATAGACAAGTTTCCTGGCTTTTGTCCTCTCTGCTTATGTGCCTGTTTCATCTTTAGTTATGGCAGCTTCAGCCTAGTCTCACAGACCAAGCCCGGAATGGCTTGGATTGGGGTGGGTCCTTGAGTAACAACTGGTGGAATTCACTTAATGATGGCAACGGGGAGTGCCAGGAGTGCCATCACTAAACAATGCAGTCACATGATGTCACACTTTACGACTGCATCACTTAGCAACGGAAATTCCAGTCCCAATTGTAGTCATAAGTCGAGGACTACCTGTACTTTAGATTGTAGAAGACAGTAGTAGTAGTTAATGTGTACATTAATTGACAGCACATAATATCATGAATAAAGACTCTCTTTTGAGTCTAAACTATTCTGAATTAATTGTGTTGCTGATTTCAAATTAAAATTAATTAACTTAAAATTAAATCTTTTCTGGAATAGTTTAGAATAGAAGGCATCCAGATCCCTTTGGTCCTCTGGTAAAAGAAATGAAGCTACGGTTTTGTTTTTGATCACTTTCACAAGAAGAAAGTGATCAAAAAATAAAGAAGTAATAGTATTCATTGTAATGCCAAAATGTGAGTGATAATCTAGTTGTCCAATTTGGTGTATTGCTAGCTCTTATAAAACTTTGCACCTGCAAATCAGTGATGGCATTGAAAAAAATTACTTTGTATGCTACTTTTAGCTGGACTTTGCTTCCCAAATCCTTGTGACAAAATTACTATTTCTGACTTTGCAACTTTGAGAACTTTGCTAATGTAGGGCAGTAATTCACTTTATGTTAAAATCAGTATTTTAAAAGAACATATATGCTGATAACTGCAGTGGTGAGGATTTTAAAATATAAAACATACTAGTTGTACAAAATTTCCAAATTTTATTCTTCCTCTGTTCAAACTGTAGCATCTCTATCCCTCCATTAAGTTTAAATAAGATGTTCAGTAAGTTATAGGCAGGTGACAGTTATAGCTGTCAAAGTTGCTGGGTCAGCCTGAAAGTCCTAATTCCCTGCTGCACTATAAAATTGTCAACTTATCTGGGCTTGTACTATGTTGGAGCTGGAAGCTAAAATGAATTTGTTTGTTTGTTTGAATTGTATGACTGCCAAATCAAAAAGACCCAAGAAGGCTTACATTAAAAACTCAATAAAAGCAAACAATCAGGATGCAAAAAGTAAAAAGTACGCAACTCCATAAAAAGGTACTAATGCATTATGTTCTGCTTGTGAGGTCTCCAGGAACATCAGTTTGTCCATTGTGAAAACAAAATACTGGATTTGATCATTCTTGCAAAATGTACATAGGGATGCCTTGTTAAAGCATCTTAGATCATCTTTGAAAATAACTTAAGTTGATCTCAATATTCCAAAGTTCATGACATGAAAATAAGTAATTTATTGTGAGTAATGCGACAATGCTGTAATTCACTGGTACTTATCTTTAGAAGGTATTTGAAACCTGCATGTCGGTTCAACTCTACTAGTCCTGAGGTTATCTCCATGAGGCAGCTAGATGATAATATGTCTTTTACTAGTGTAAACAATTCCAGTTTGTAGAGAAGCGGAAGATGAATTCTTAAAAGTTGTGGCATATTTCCAGAATCAGTTTTGTCCTGGAATTTGTGAAGGATTAATACAATTTACTAAACATCATGTAGTTTGGCTGGTATGGGTCTTCCGGGCTGTGTGGCCGTGTTCTTGAAGTTTTGTTTCCTAACATTTCGCCAGCACCTGTGACCGGCATCTTCAGAGTGCAGGAGCACCGAAAGGTAAA